CATCTTCCTTCCAAGGAGTGGCTGGTGGGTTTGAACCGCCAGCCTTCTGGTTAGCAGTCAAGTGCCTTAGGCACTACGCTACCAGAGCTCCTTGAGATATCTCATAGCATCATCCAAACCAGGAGAATGTGACAGCCTTACATGAGATGGGCCTTTATTAGTTGCAGCTTCAAGTCCTTCTGTCTTTCTCAGTTCAGCAAAAACTAGCAGCAGAACTTGGTATATATTTGCTGTTAACTCAACAGCCAATCAAACCCCTTGAAGCCTTATGAGTTACAGAGAGCTGTGCCCCATAACTCTGTCTTGGTTATAATCTTTACAGAAGCAGATCACCAGGGCTTTCCTTCTCAGTGCCTTTGGGCGGGGTGGGGATTCGAACCACCAATCTGTAGGTTAGAAGGTGAGCGCAAGCTGTCTGCACCATCCAGGTGCTGGTAGGTACAGGCTACCTTCTGCTTTCTTTGTCTCTTCATACAGTCTTGTGAACGTGAAGATACAAGACACTCAGCCTCCTTCACTGTTTCCCAAGATGAAATAGTCACAGATAGGGCAGTTAAAGAATGGCCATACACAAATATCTAAGCAATAACAAGTATTTGTCACATTGTAGCCATCAGAACTCAGTGTCACGAACTGTGACAAGGGTTGTTGAGAGCACTCATACCTCTCCTACACGAAGAAGGGGAACTTCTCCAAAAGGGTCAGACTGAGCCCTCCACTGTGACGGAGCCATCCCCTGGTCCACTGTTGACAGTCACACAGGTAACTAGCAATAATCACAGGTGATCAATTCCAGGCAAAGCCAGGGAAACTTTCAGGCTGACAGGACCGGCACCCTCTAGCTCTCCTGTGATTTCCCTCAACACTTTCTCATCAGCCTGTTCTGACTTTTGAAATGAATTGTATTTTATTTATTTATTTTATCAGTGATAAGAGAAGATTCTCCTGAACCAAATGGCCCAGAAGAGGCCCAGAAGGTATCTGGCGCACCTCCAAACAAGAAAGGTGAGGGCTGTCTTTCTCCTGCAGGTGTCAGGATGGTGCATTCAGAGTTGCTTTCTGTTTTTCAGAACATCTTGTCCTAAGCACCTGTCGTGCGACTGTGGTCCTGATGCCCATACTGTTTGTTTCTTCAAAACCCATTCTCTGCACCTTCCTCACAGACCTTTATGAAAATTATAGGGAAACCAGCCTGCATTGATGGCCCTAGCAACAAGCACCCCTTGGAATGGGATTTTCTGAAATCCTTTGTTGTTGTTAGTTGCCATCGAGCCACCTCCAGCTCACGGAGATCTCACGTCGATCTCACGTCTGAATGGAATGTCCCCCGGTCCTGCACCGTCTTCATCCTGTTGGTGTGTCTGAGTCCACTGCTGTGGTTACTGTGTCATCCATCTCATTGAAATATTCAAGGTCTTCTTAGAGCAGAAGTTAACTCCTTTCTTTAAGTGGAAGTTGGTTCTCCTGAGAGGACACCACTTCCTCTAAGAGATGGCTGTGTATTCTCCATCATACACTCTCATCAGGGTGGGAGGAAGGATGCATGTCCATCCCTTGTTACCACTGCCCCATCCAGTCCTTTGCTCCTCAACCCTCACCTTTGAGGCTCAAGCATTCAAGTGAAAATTTACTCCCTCTTCATCCTCCCCAGAAGACCTCCAAGGTGACTTAGAGTTTTCTGTCCCAGCAAGTCCTGCCATCATCCGGATGCCTTCAGTGAATACCACAGATGACCCACCCAGCACTCTGGCCTCTGCAACCCGTCATCTGCTGTCTCTTGTGACTTTTTCTCCCACAGCTTCTTGGCCTTCTATACCTAGTGGAATCCATAGGCCTTATCATCATTCAACCTGGCTAAACTTCCCAATACTTAATTTAAGAATTCCCTTTTTTGACACCTAGCTTTGAAGCTTGCTCCTTCTGCAACTATCACCCAATCTCTGGGCACTCCTCCTCAGCCCAGTCTTTGAAAAATAATTTAAAACCCTCTCTCCCTCTCTCTCTCTGGTTCCTTCCGTGCAGTTTGTTCCCTCTGCAGCCATCCTTCACTCCAATTGGTTGACCACTGACCTTCCCTTTTCCAGGTCACCATCCTCCTTTCTTCACGCCCCTCCTAAGCCACTGAGATTCCAAACTCCATCACTGCAGTGACCTTTTGCTGATCTCTTAACCAGCTTCACCCTTGTCTTTTCCTAGAACTCTCTGGCACGTCCTGGAGATGTGGAATTACTTGCTTTCTCCACACTGCGTCTGAAAAGCAGGCATTGCTGGAGGGAGCCTCACGGCTGGTCCAAGGGCACCTGCTGCGTCTCTGTGACTCCAGCCCGAACGATCATTCCACACTGGGTGACAATTCCGCCTCATGGCTCTCCCACTTTCTGCAACGATCCTTTCACACCACATCCTTTCTTTCTCAACAGACTCTTCCTCCTTCTCCACAGAGAGAGGCATTAGATGGGAATCCCCTCACTTCCGGCCACAGCCCTGCAAACCCTAACTGGATCTGCCCTGCCCTGTCCTCTTCAGGTTTCTCCTCTTTAAGGCAATCCTTCCACCCTTCCTTACAGTATGATCATGCTTTCTCTCTCTCGAATACTCAGCATCTCCCTATGTCCTTCTCACAAGGTCCTACCCTCAGCCAGTGCTCAAGCCCCATCCCCCTCCAGCTCATAGAAAGAACTTCCCCTTGATCCTCATCTCACTTCAGCTGCTTCCATAGTGCTTCAGCCAAACAAACAAACAAACAAAAACTCACTGCCATCGAGTTGATCCCTCCTTGGGTTTCCAAGGCGGTATCACTACAAAGGTAGATTGCCCAACCATCCTTCTGAGGAGTGGCCAGTGAGTTTGAACTGCCAGCCTTCTAGAATGAGTAACCTAAGCTCATTGTTGCCCTTTTTCCTCTTCCTTCTCTCCTTTGCCACTTCAGAGTTTCTTCTTTCCCCATTGATCTGTGAAATGACATTATGTAAGGTCCCCAAAGGCCTAGCCACTGCAGTTTGAAGACCAAAAGCAAAGGCTAAAAACTGTTAACATATAAGGTTGGCAGATCTGTGTTTGTATAAAACATTTTTCTCCTATTCATTTCTTTTTAAGGAAAGAAAATACAAAGAAGTGTCTTGTCAACTCCAAAAAAGAGACATCAGAACAAAGACCTTCTAAGAGGTAAGATGAAGGAACAAGAGGAGGCTGGAGGCTGGAAACAGCTCTCCAGAGCCTTATAGGCCAAGGTGTGGAGGGTTGGTTTTTGTTCTAAATGCCTGAGAGGCCACTGCAGAAGTGACATGATCCAAGACAAGTTTCAACTATTTGAGGGACAGATGTCCCTAAAGATGATAGCACCCTGGATTCAGGTATCTCCTGGTAAGGTGGGGGCTAGGAAAGTGAGAAGGAGGTCACTAGGGCAGGAGGAAGTTCACAGGGGACCCCAGTTAAAATGTCACAAATCATTATTTGGACCAGGGGCATTCTCCCCTCCACATGGAACCCAAGAGAAGCTCCAAGTGGTAGATCAGGTGACTCAAATGAAGGACGACTCAAAAAAACAGTCAGTCAAAGGTGACATGAGTCCAAAAGGTATAGACTGTGCCTACACGCCCGAGTCAGGGGGCAAGTCTGAGGCTGAAATCTGCCATTAGAATGGCTCGGGGGGAGGAGCTCTCGTGGAGCAGGCACCGGGTGAGGGAGCTGTGGGGAGTAGTAGTAGGAGGGAGACGTGCAGAGAAAGAGGTCGAGGTGAGCAAGACAGAGAGCAACACAGAGAGCAAGGACCTGTGGTTCTGAGCGTGGTTGGAAGAAGTAAATGTGTCCTCAGGTAGAAGTTCACCTGCACTGTTGCCACGGAGGTTTACCTGACCACTTCCAGGTGTCCACTGTTCAGTCCCATTAGTAATCACTGCTGATGAGCCTTGTCTGTCCCGCCACTGCATCTGGAAGGCTCCTCTTTCATCCAGACAGGCCAACAGGCTTCAATGCTCAGGGAAGACATTTTCTCAGGATTATTTCCTAATGGTTCACTTCTAGAAGTGCATGCTTGGCCAAAGAGTCTATATACTTACAATTAACACATACTGTAAAATTTTCCAAATTGTTCACCAAATATTCCAATACCCTATCACTCCCAGCCCCCACAGAAGGTTTATATATCCCTGACCAGAAATAGCCATAGAACTTGGCTAAAAATGTATGTATGGAAGTGATGGGTTACTTTTAGGCCAAACCTTTAGAGGCCTTTTAGGGTCGGCCAGTAACTGAGACAAGTAATGTTCAAGACGGAGGCTGCTCTGTCAACCTGGACCCAGGAGTGCTGATGACATGGGGCTGAGGCTCATCTGACATGTGATGAACATGGGAGTGATGTAAACCCTTGTTGTTCTAAACCAGGGCTCAGCAATCTTTTCCCTAAAGATCCAGATAATAAAGATTTTAGGCTTTGGGGACCATACACTCTGTCATAACAACTCAACATGAAAGCACCCAGAAACAATAAATACAAAAAGAAATAAACTTGGCTATGTTCCAATAAAACTTGATTTATAAAAAAGCAGGTGAGGAACACAAACTGGCCCATGGACTAGACATAGTTTGCTAACATCTCTAATAAACCTCTGAGATTTGGGAGAAGGTCATAAGTTAACTCAGCATTACTTAACCTATCTTAACTAATATTAACATCAGTTTTAAATAAATTTGCCATTAGAATTTTTTCTTTTGAGGATCACCTCATATTTGCCCATTTTTATGTAACTCCATTGCCATCCAGTCAATTCCATCCTAGTGACTTAACAGGACAAAGTGGAACCACCCGAAAAGGTTTCAAGGCTTTAAATCTTTACAGAAGCAGCTTGCCTCATCTATCGGTTTGAACCACCTACATTTTAGTTGGTAGCTGAGCGCTTAACCACTGTATCACCAGGGCTCCTAAACATTTTGTATGTTGTTGTTGTTGTTGTTATGTGCCATCGAGTCTACCCTGACTCATAGCGACCCCTCCTTGGGTTTCCAAGGCAGTATCACTACGGAAGTAGGATTGCCCAACCTTCCTTCCGAGGAGTGGCTGGTGGGTTTGAACCGCCAGCTGTCTGGTTAGCAGGCAAGTGTCTTAGCCACTATGCTACCAGAGCTCCCAAACATTTTGTATAGGATGTTTCTTTTTTTAATCTATTAGGGAAATTAATCCTTTGTGACACTTCGTACATTTTTCTCATTTTGTTTTTATATTTTAACTAAGTTGAGAAGCTTTTGGTAGTGCACAAATTTTTCATTTTTAGATAGCCAAATCAGTTCATCTTTTCTGTTTATGCAAGGATTTCTCAACCTTGAAGCTTTGAAGATTTAGTGGACTGGATGCTTGTTTTTTGTGGGGACATTCCTACCCATTGTAAGATGTTTAGCAGTATCCCTGTCCCTTATTCACTAGAGGCTAGTAACATTCCCCAGTTGTGGCAGCCAAAAATGTCTGCAGGCATTGCCAAATGTCCATTGGGGGCAAAATAGCCTGACACTGAGACCCATGCCTTGCACTTTAAAAGTCTCTTCTATGCAATATTTAAAAGGCTACATCCCTCTATTAACTTCTAGTACTTCTATTAGGGAGCACTGGTGGTGTAGTGCCTAAGGCATTTAACTGCTAACCAGAAGGCTGGAGGTTCAAACTCAACAGCCACTCCTCAGAAGGAAGATTGGGCAATCTACTTCTGTAGTGATACTGCCTCGGAAACCCAAGGAGGGGTCGCTATGAGTCGTTTGACTCGACGGCACATAACAACAACAACTCTCCCTCAGTCATTTCTGTAATTTTCCTTTTATAAAGACTCATATATGTCGTGTATTACCAGAATGGTGGAATGACAGAGAAAGTTACTTTAAAATCACTGACATGTAAAGTTGGCAAAACTATGTTTACAAGTATGAAGGGGTAATTTTAATTTTTAAAAAAGTGAAAAAGATCTGTTCAAGAAGTTGTCAGAAAAATATTCTTGCAAGGGATAAGCCAGCGGCGGAGGCCCTGACCTGCTGCAGAAAGTTTTGCTCCTACCTCTCCCGCCCAATTTCCCACCGCGGCTTCTTAAGTCTCCCCACCAGTGTCGGTCTCCATTTTCTCAAGGTGCCCACGTGACACGCTCCACGTGAACGACGTTAGGGCGCTGCTTCCGCAGTCTCCGTGCTCTGCGCTGGGGGCTGTTTTCACACCCGGAAGGACTCTTTAACACACAAATATATAAAGACCCAAAAAACAAACAAGGGAGAAGCCACAAACCACAAACCAAGTCCTAACATAAACCAAGTCCTTCATTGTAGGAATCCAGGCAAAGCCCAACAAGAGCTCGTTTCTGGTGGGTGGAGCCTCCGCTTCCTGTTCTCAGGGGCCACAGGCCTGGTTGCTGCTAAGGCTCTGTAAGCATTCCTGGCCGTCTGCATTTAACATCGTTCCTCTCTCAGAGGGGCTCTTTGAGTCACTTGTCTTTCTCTGTCTCCTTCTCTTCTCTCCCCTCTTCCTCCTTTTTTAAAAAAATGTTATTATGGTAAAATACATAGAACACAAAATTTCCCATTTTAACCAGTTTTAGGTGTACAATTCAGTGACATTAACTACGGTCACCATGTTATGCAACTATCATTATTATCTGTTTCCAAAAGGATTTCATCACCCCCAAACAGAAACTTTGCACCCATTAAGCAATAACTCCCAATTTCCCCCTCCTTCCAGCCCCTGGGAACCACTTATCAATTGTGGTCTCTGTGCCTTTGCTCATTCTAGATATTTCATGTAAGTGGAATCATGTATCTGTCCTTTTGTGTTAGAATCATTTCACTGAGTATTATGTTTCCTTTCTTTTTTTTTTTTATTTTTAACTTTTTATTGTGAATTGGTTGAAATTTTACAAAGCAGATGTGTTTTACATTCAACAGTTCATACACATTGTGTTTTGTAACACTGATTACTTTCTCTGCATAGTAACAGCTCTCCTCCTACCTCCTCCTGTGGTCACCCCTTCCCTGTGGCCTTACCTATGCAGTCCTGCCTGCCTGGCTTTCTCCCAAATGCTGCCCATTTGATCTCCCATAGTTGACTGTGATGAGGAGTGCATCTCCCTGGTGTAGTTGCTCAGCTCGTAGCCTGTCTGTTTGTTTGGCTGAGAAGCAAACCACAGGAGTGAGTCCAATTCCAGGCCCAAAGGGTGACTCAAGCATGTTTTCATGGCTTGCCCATGTGCTGCACTTATCAGAATTTCATTTCTCTTTATATCTGAATAATATCCCACTGTATGTTTGTATATGGAGTCCTGATGGTGCAGTGGTTACAGTGTTCAGCTGCTAACTGAATGGTTGATGGTTTGAACCTACCAGATGCTCCAGTTAAGATTTCAGCCTTCCAAACCCTATGAGGCAGTTCTACTCTATCTTCTAGGGTTGCTATGAGTTGGAATCAACTCTATGGCATTGGATTTGGTTCTTGGTGTGGGTAGGCATATATGTGAGGCATTTGGTTGCTAACCGAGAGGTCAGTGGCTTGAAACGACCAACTGCAATGCAGAAGAAAGATGAGGCTGTCTGCTTCCATGAAGATTTACAACCTTGGAAATCCCATGGGGGTTGCCATGAGTCAGAATTGACTTGGTGGCAGTGAGTGTGTTTTTTTGTGTATGTATGACATTTTGTTTATTCAGTCACCTGGTAGTGGACACTTGGGTTATTTCCACCTTTTGGCTATTGTGAACAATGCTGTAGTGAACACTGGTGTACAAGTATCTGCTTGAGTGCCTGCAGTTAAGTCTTTTGGGTATACACCAAAAGTGGAATTGCTGGACCATACAGTAATTCTGTTTAACTTTTGAAGGAACCACCAAACTTTTCCCCAAAACTACACCCTTTTATATTCCCACCAGAATGCATGAGGGTTCCAGTTTCTCTACATCTCATCTCATAATAGCCTTCCTAGTGAGTTGAAGTGGTATCTTATTGTAGTTTTGATTGACATTTCTCTGGTGGTATAGTGCCTAAGGCATTTAACTGCTAACCAGAAGATTGGCCATTCAAACCCACCAACCACTCCATGGAAGAAAGACTATATAATCTATTTCCACCCAGAAGGGGTCGCTATGAATTGGAATCAACTTGATGGCAGTGTTTTTGTTTGTTTGCTTGGTTGGTTTTAATGGCTAATGACAGCATCTTTTCATGTGCCTATTTGCTATTTATCTTCTTTGGGGAGATATCTACTCAAACCCATCTTTAAATTGGCTTGTCTTTTGCTGTTGAGTTGCAGGAGTTTTATATGTGTTTTGGATATTAATCCCTTAGCAGATATATAGTTAACCAAATATCTTTTCCCATTCTGTAAGTTGTCTCTTCACTTTCTTGATAAAATCTTTCGATGCACAGAAGTTTTTAATTTTGATAAAGTCCAATTGATCTATTTTTCCTTTTGTTATTTGTGCTTTTGGCATCATCTCTAAGACACCAAATTCTCTAAAAGGGTCCACTGTTGAAACAAAATCTTAAAGCTTAACCTGCATGTTTTCTCCTAACAGTTTTTTGGCTTTAATTCTTCTGTTTAGGTCATTGATCCATTT